ACAGAAACTTAAAGTTGCTAAACATAAACTGCATCAAAGTAAATTACCAGGGAAAATAAAGAAAACGGTAAAGGAAATCAATGAACATGGAAATCCAGATCGTCAGAAACTTCATGATGTTCGTCGTTCTCCGGTAGACTTCTCACTAGTGTTCCTGCCCTCTCTGCCAATTCCCCCCCCCCCCCTTTTCAGTTTTTGCTCTATTTATAGAGCATCTTTGAAGTAACCTCCCAAGAGTGGTTAATACCACTATCCCCACGATCCTACGTGCCCGTTTCTTTAGTTTTACAGTTTTAGAAACTGCACTCCACGTTCTTACGTATAATAGAACTACTCCTCCTTCGATCTCCGTCGCGGTTTAGAAACTGTTTCCCACGTTCCCTGTGTGTGTTAACTGCTCCCTCGATCTCGATTTCAGACATCGAGTATCTTAAATTTTGCTTTTGATTCCCTTTAATTTTGTACTATTCTAACGTCAACAATAGATATCGAAATTTGTTTCTTCGATTCTCGATTTTGATTCTCGATGTCTTTTACCAATCGTATGGTCTTCGATCTTTCCTTCATTTTTTTTTTTCGATCCCTTTATCGATTTCCCATTAACAATTATAAAATTATTATTTTATTCAATTGGATGGTAACTTAATTAAATTTAGTAAAATTTTTAAAATATTTAATCCATTGACTTTATCGGTTTATTCATTGATTTTAATTTTAAAAATATTGGTTTATCTGAAAAAGTGTAGAATGAATAAATAATTAGTATAAAAGAATTAGTAAAAAGAAAATATTATATTACATAATAAGAAAAACAATAATAAAAAATATATAATTTTATTATAATATACGTTTTTATTTTTCATTCATATATGAGTAGAAAGAATTAAAAAATATTATTTTATAAAATTATTTATTTTTATATTTATATAATATATATATATATATATATATATAATAATTACTATTTTAGTAAAATATGATGAAATGATTATAAAAATCAAATGAATAATTTAAAATATATTTTTACTTATTTGTAATATAAATATTTCCAGAAATTATATATATCAAAATATATATGATTAAAAAATAAAATAGTAATTTAATAATGTTATTTTAAAAGGCTATTTCATTCATAAAAATAATTAATAATTAGATGAATAATTTTATAATTAATTAAATATTTATTTTAATTTAATTATTTATTATTTTTAAAATAAATATTTTTTTATTTTCATATCAATTTTCTCTTAAATAAATAATTTTTTTGATTTTTTTTCTTGTATTTATTTATTATCGATCATATATTTAATAGAGTTTAAAAAAAAAGTATCTTAAAGATAATAATAAAACCTCATATTATCATAATTAACATCGAAATACTTTCATTTCGTTCTTAAACAAAATAATATTAAATAAATAATAGTTATTATTTTATAATTTTTAATCAAAATAGTAGAATTATGAAAAAGAGGGTGTTAATGCATTTCATTCTTAAAAAAAAAACGTAAACCTAAATCGTCCTTTTCAACTATATTCTTTTTCTTTGTCCACCAAACCCTATACTTAACAAAAGCTGGAGCTATATTTCTATTCAGTACTTTCTTTTTTTTACTATTTAAATCTTTGATTTTTCTCAACAACCAAATTTTTTAACTCATTTGTATGGTGAAGTTTGGATCTGTCTTCATTTCGACAGAAAACTTAGAATTTTTGGTTCACTAAATCCGCAAACCCTAATCTCAACCTACATACTCTGCTGTGCTCTATTTCCTTCCACTTCCCACATTTCTTTCTATGGTCCACCCTAGTGCCTTAAAAGGGGAAGATAGACTCATAAAACTATCAACTACATAATTTCAATGATTTAATAAAAAAATATAACAAGCAAAATCAAGGTGATTCTTTTGGAGAATGATAAGTCCAAATAATTTACTTTATCTATAATAATTATGATGGTAAAACAAATCACTCTTATATTCACCACTAACTTATTAAAATCAGTCTCAATTCAATTTACTTTATAACGATAGTGATGAATTTAATTGTTTGAGCTATATAGTGCGGTGCCCTATCTGGGAGGTTACCCAAAATAGGCCACGTGTTAAAGCATCATGTTTTTCATCTTTCACTTTGTGTAATCTATAGATACACCATGCTTAATCATTTCTAAAGCTTCTATGAAACACATCTTCTACTATACCAATTTTTACCATGCACCGGATTTAAAAGTAGCTTTCAATTTTCAAAGTTGCTTCACACATTCATCAAAAACCTCGTCCGCACGTCATTTCCCAAGGAAAATCTGTATCAACAGTGATAATCACGTTCATAAATAAGTTGAGAAATAAATAATAGAAAAAAAAAAGTGATTGGGTGCCACATTGATTTTAACAATTTAATATCTATGAGTTGGAGGGATAAAAATTATAAATTAATATCATTCCTACCTAAATTAGTATTGCTACTTTTAAATACTTATTCCTATTTTCTCCTTTTCTTTTTGAGTGATACCAATTGAAAAAAATATTTTTTTTATATTTTATTTTCAAAGTTTACGATAATATTATTTTTCTTTCAATTATATTATTCATCCATCTACTCTCTTTTTTTTTTCATTTAAAATTACATATTTACTAATGGTATGCATATATTATACAAAAAGTTACAAAAACAATTTTAAGGCTATTTTATGAAAAAAAAACATTATATTTCTTGATTTATGTGTAAAAATGTTATAAAACACATAAAAATAAATCAGTGAAACTTAAATTCAACAAATTACAGATGATGAGGGATTATTAAGAATAATATTTTTTTTAAAACCTATTTTTTTAAATAACATACTGATTTTCATATTATTTTCCGGTTGATCAATTAAATTGATCTATCCGCTACAAGTGGATTTTTAAAATAATAGTTAAAAAAAAAACGTTGTGTAATAAAATTTATTATTGAAGGATATATCACGTGTAATGGTTGATATAAATATTTGTTGATTTTTTTATCTAAAAAAAATGAAAAAGAAACGTTGATGAAGAAAATATTTTAAGTAAAACATATAGGTTTTTATAAGATTCATGTATAGTTAAATTAAGTATACATTAGTAGCAATGTTAGCATTGAAGTAAATATATATGACATGGTAAGATTTAAAAAATGTTAAAAGTACGTAAAACAGGGCACATATTATTTGGTATTACAGTTAAAAAATAAATATAACTTTAATTTGCTATAACTACCATAATATTTATATAATTAAAAATCATTACTAAAAATAAATGTACCCCGTCCACCAAACACGCAACAAATAAGAGATGATTTAGGTGTTGAACTTTATAACACCATTCATTGCTGCTTTGTGTGAGCAGAGTTCTATGAAAGTGGCAATGGCATTAGTTAGAGACTTTCAAATTGGAATGAGGATGAATTGGACCCAAACCCTTCTTTAGTCCTCCAACCCTAATCACTACCCTTCACACCCACTTTGACATTTCCCAAAGCTTTCATTCATATGAAAAAGACACACTCTTCAAAATTAGCTTTATTTATTGTTTAATTCCAATAAAATAAAATAATATAAATGGATAAGTATAACCAAGGTCAATGTCAACACGGTGTAAGTTAGAACAATCCATGCTCCATTTCCAGGGTGGCACCACACCAAGAAGAATTTCATAGCATAGAGATGCTTGACCCACCTTTGTTGGTGCTGTTATTATTATTTTACCTTTCAAGATGGAACTCAATAATGCGTGGCCCATCAAAGTCACAAAAGTAAAGAGGAATTGTCAGAGGTGGGGAGGAACCGTAACGGTAGGAGAGGGGAGGAGGTTCAGCAAAACAAGATCTACAAACCACCTTTCCCACTTTTCTTACCACCACATATCATCATCACATTTCCCCATAAAGATAATCAAATTATCATACTAATTCAATCTCTAACTTAGATCTCTTTGCTTAATTTACATCAACTCAATTGGATGTTTCTGAAATCACCGTCACCATGATGTGAGTGCATCACAAGAGAAAAAAAAAAAAGAAGAAGAAGAAAAAAATCTCTTGTCTTCTTTGCTTAATTGTGCCGTGCCCCTTGCTTTCTCTTTCACATCCCCACCATGGCGTGAAGTGGTAAAACCTCCAAATTTTAAATTAAGGAAGCCAATATTAAGAATTAGGAAACAAATCAAGTACTCTTCAAGTCAACACCAACCAGTGTGAAAAGCAAAACAGAATATTAATTAAATAATTAATTGATGATAATCATTACGAAACGAATCGATGAGTTGCACCATCACGTGCCACGCGCTTCACACAAAATCCAAAGCAATGGAAGAAGAAGATGCCCACAAGGCAACACAAACTACTCCAAGCCAAGTCTCTGCCATGCACGGTTTCTCCTTTCCCTTGGCCATTTGGGAACAACCCAACACAACCAACCAATGCAAACAAATGCAGAGAATATAGGCCCTTTCGAACACGATTTTTTTCACTCACCCCGCCAATTTAGGCTTTCTCATTCTATTTTGTTCTTTGTTACTTATTATCTTTTATTTTATGATGAATAGTGTAAAATAACTATAATTTTTTACTTTTATAATAAAATATTTCATAAAACATAAATGCGTATCCAAGTGAAATTTTAGTTGAGGTTGAATAAGATTGGCTACTAAATGTAGGTACATTATCTAACTTTTTTATTTTATTTTTTTCATTTTTAATGCATATTGAAGACTCTACTTTGAAAAAAGATTTTACATTTTTAATCCTCCTTCCTCATTAAATCTCTTTTCCCCCAGTCTCCCGCAATTGTCGCAGCAGCCAGACTGAGAGACACAAAGCGACACTCACTTTCTGCGTTTCGTTAGTCGAATTTGCTCTCGCTTTCGTGTCGCTTTGCTTTCTTTCTTTGTTTCTTTGTTTCTTCGAACCAGTATAAAAAACGCGTAGCGCGTAGACTGCGTGTGGCTGTCTGAATTGGGTCGAGGATCCGACCCGGATCCATGGGGTGTGTCAGCTCGAAGCAAGCGGTATCGGTGACGCCGGCGATTGACCACTCGGGCGCGTTTCGGAGCAATGCGGCGGGTCTGGGCGAGTCGGAGAGGAAGGAGAAGAAGAGGAGCAAGAAGAGGACCGAGTCGGGGGGAGCGAGTCAGAGCGAGGTAGGAGAGTCGGGCAGAACGAGTTCCAATTGCGAGTCCCTCAGCTTCAGGTTGGGAAACCTTCACAAGTACGTGCAGGGAGAACACGTGGCTGCCGGCTGGCCGGCGTGGCTCAGCGCCGTCGCTGGCGAAGCCATTCACGGCTGGGTCCCCCTCCGCGCCGATGCCTTCGAAAAACTCGAGAAGGTGAACCGTCACCAAAGAACAAAAATTAAACTAATCTTATTATTAGTTTATTATTATTATTATTACTATTATTGTTGTTGCTATTATGATGATGATGATCATCATACGATGATGAAGTAATTGATTGGAGGTTGTTGATGTTGACAGATAGGGCAGGGAACGTATAGTAGTGTGTTTCGGGCGAGGGAGCTTGAGACGGGGAAGATAGTGGCATTGAAGAAGGTGCGGTTCGACAATTTCGAACCGGAGAGTGTCCGGTTCATGGCGCGTGAAATATTGATTCTGCGACGGCTTGATCATCCCAATGTAATAAAGCTTGAGGGCTTGATTACTTCAAGGCTCTCCTGTAGCATTTACCTCGTCTTTGAGTACATGGAGCATGACATCACAGGGCTCTTGTCTTCCCCTGATATCAAGTTCACTGAACCACAGGTAACAATAAACTAATCGTATTTTCAACGAAACAGGGAAGCAGGTTTTTTAGGTATATATCATATTCACCAGTGAATACGGGTACATATATATATATATATATATATATATATATAATTATGTATGTACGTACCTACGTATATATATGTATATATGTATGTATACGCCAGGGTAATCTTGACTCTATCAATTAGTTTTTCGGTTTAGTCAAAAACTAAAATTCCAAGACTGTAGCAGAGTTTATTTTAGTAATTGTTGTTAGATTTATAGGTCATTATCAGATCACGAGTAGATCACTGGTTATCCAAGTGTTTTTTTTTTTTTTTAAGTAACAATAATAATAATAATAGTTACTTATGTATTGTTGTGCGGTGTGTGATATTATGGTTCTGTTGTTGAATGGGTGGAATGGTTTTGTTGTGTGTGTAGGTTAAGTGCTACATGAAGCAGTTGTTGGCTGGGCTTGAGCATTGTCACTTGCGGGGAGTGATGCATAGGGACATTAAGGGGTCTAATCTTTTGGTGAATAATGAAGGGGTTTTGAAGGTGGCGGATTTTGGGTTGGCGAATTATGTTAGTTCTGGGCACAGGCAACCTCTAACTAGTCGTGTCGTTACCTTGTGGTACCGGCCACCAGAGCTTTTGCTTGGTTCGACGGACTATGGTCCGGCCGTGGATCTTTGGAGTGTTGGCTGTGTTTTTGCGGAGCTGCTTGTGGGGAAGCCTATACTTCAGGGGAGAACGGAGGTATTAACCTTTCCTAAATGCATGAATTGCCCTGTTATGGTAATGTAGTCAAGTTGTTACATTTTTGTTAGAAAAAAAATGACTAACCTATTGGAATGGGTTCTATATGTTAAATTTTAAATAACTTTGATAATGTACAAGAATGAGAAAAATAACAATTCCTCAACACGTAAGAAAGCAACTGATATGAAAATGCTGCTGATGGCATGGACATTTGAGTTTCTTTGTTAAGACATTTTGTTAAACTATTTAAAATAGTATTAATTCAAAGAAATATTGGCAGCAAGGTGCACTGAGATTTTAGGTCAAAAACTTCTGATATCTTCTTTCTTACTACGGTGAAGGTTTCATTTCCTTTTTCACATAGAGGTGCATTATTTCCACCATGCTTACATGTTTATTTAGAAGAAGCATTTTGGTATTTTAATTCAATTAGAAAGCTTTTATAATTCCATATTTTTGTTGCCAAATCTTTAACAGAGCCGAAGTTTAAGTCCCATTTCTATTGCATGAGGTTTCACTGCAATCTGTCTATAGGTTCATTTGAAATTTTCTATCAATGCCTGCTCAGTAGTTTAGGTTTGCACCATTCTGCATTTCAAATAGGGACAATGATACCTATTAACATTAATCTTCAGAAAAGGAATTGATTCAATCTGAAAATCCTCCTCAATGTTAGACCGGATGCTAATAGTTTGTGATTAATAAATGAATCAAATTGAAACGAAACTTCGGACACTGTTTGATTTGTTTTTTTGAAACTCTTCTAAATTCATTTTTGTTATGTTCGCAGGTTGAACAATTGCACAAAATTTTTAAGCTCTGTGGCTCCCCACCTGATGAATACTGGAAAAAGACTAGACTTCCTCATGCAACGTTATTTAAGCCACAGCAGCCATATGATAGTTGCCTTCGACAATTCTTTAAAGATTTGCCAGCGACCAGTGTACATCTGCTACAAACTCTTCTTTCTGTAGAACCCTACAAACGAGGATCTGCTGCATCTGCTCTCTCATCGGAGGTAGGTTGATTTTGTATTTGTTGGAAATTCCTGAAATACATTTTGTGGTAAATTGGAAATATTCAGCGTATTTGGTTAGACAAAATGTTTCCTATTTCATTTCCTTTTTACTTGGATAATGAAATCCTGAAATACATTTTGTTGTTAATTGGAAATACTCAAGCCTATTGGATTAGACAAATTATTTACAATTTCATTTCCTTTTTCCTTATATGATGGGGCAGTTTGTGTGTAATTGTTTATTTATTTTTTAAAGTGCTTATTTAATCAAATAAACAAATTTATGCTTTTTTATTTATTTATTTATCTAACCTACTTATTTAAAAATAAACAGTTTTCTACTTGTTTTCATAAGCAAATTCTATCTGTTATTAAACAAGTGATTATTTTAAAAATTACTTATTTAAAAAAAAAACTTATTTCAAGTATAAACTGACCCAATTTCAAAATGTCTTCTTGTTTTCATTTTGTTCCTCGTTATCAAATATTTGTATAGGAAACCGTGAAAACAAGGATTTTGTTTACATTCTTTCTTTTACAAATCTTTGAAAACAAGAAACATAGTGAATAAATTCGACATTGTTTTTATTTATCTATGAAAACAGAAAATTAAAATATAAGCAAATTCTATCTGTTTCTTAATAAATGATTATTTTAGAAATTAATTATTTTAAAAAATTACTTATTTCAAATACAAACTGACCCTATTACAAAATCTCTTGTTGTTTTCATTTTGTTTCTGATTTTAACATATTTGTATAGGAAACCATAAAAACAAGCATTTTGTTTTTCTTGTACAAATATTTGAAATCAAGAAACATGAAAATAATCCGACAATTTTTTTAATTATTTATGAAGGCAGAAAATTAAAATATATTTTGTTTTTCAAACCAACAGACCCTAATTCCTGTATTGAATAATCTTTCTTGCTGAACATTATCTGTTGATTTCTCTTGGCAATTTTTTGGGGGATATCCATACATATGAATCAAGTTGTTTTTATGACATTAGGCCTAAATACAAAGCCATTCATCATTTATCTACAAACTTTATGACTAACTGAATCATTGAAATATGATATGGACTCTTTCTAGTACTCTACTCTGATACACTGGCCTTACCACTTTCAGTATTTCAAAACGAAACCTTATGCATGTGACCCATCAAGCTTGCCGATATACCCACCTAGCAAGGAAATCGATGCAAAACACAGGGAAGAGTCAAGGTGAGACTGATATTCACTGCACATTTTATGCAGAGTTATTCCAAAATAATGCTTTAGTTGTCTCATATTCTACTGATGCCCCGTGATTACCTGTTATTTGGCGTGGTGAAAATAAGAGAATCCCTGCGTGGGCATTTCACTTGGTTGAGTGCGCCATACTTCTCATAAGCCAATCTGTGAGAGAACATTTGTTTCAGTTTGAAAACTTGATCATATTCTAGTTTTGACCTCAGGGAGAGATTAGGAATGGTTGTTTATTAATACTCCACTGGTCATTTGAATGCGCATACTTGTGCAGTAAATTTACTTTGGAGTGATTAAAAGTAAGTCTTGTAATTGGAACTATATGTTATCACAGGGCGATGTAAGCAAATTAGGTTTTTTTTTTTTGGTAAAAATGAAAACGTTACAATGTCATAGAAGTCTCAATGTGTCAATATTAAACATTCACAATAAAAGACTTTCAAGTCAACAGAATTCCGCGTAGCCAATAAATTTTGTTTTAGGTTGCTAACAATGGTAAGATTGATGCTCTGTAACTGGGAGAGTTAGAGCTCACGGGTTCAAGTGGTCTCTCTCCATGGCAGGGGCAAATCTGTGTACTTCTACCATCCCCAGACCCCAGTGGATAGGAGCCTAATGCACTAGGTTTCCGTTTTTATATATCTATAAAGGATTTGAAATTGAGAAATGCTGTGAATCAACCGCCTTCGACAAATTAAAGCGAACAAAACCCATTCTTCCTGAATTCTATTTTCATAAGCATTACTTGTATATTCACATGAAATCATATTATGATGGCCTTTCAGGAAAAAGATTAGTGGACGAGTTCGTGGAACTGAAACAAGAAAACCATCAAGAAAGCCACTGGGATTCAGTAAACTAGCCCCAGCAGAGGTCTGTCTTACTTTCTACTCTGCATCTTGGCATTTCTTCTTATGTGCATGCACTTTGATTTGCAGGAATGGTCTAATTATCATAAACTAATTCTCACTTATTGCTCCTACAGGATTTGGCAAGTCAAACTCAGACTGCCCAGAAGTTCAATGGTAAATCTTTCCGCAACCATGATGAAGACAAGACTAAAATAGTTGACAGAGTACAGAAGCCATCCAGCGGTAAAGCTGAAGATGCTTCCCATACGAAGAATGCTTCTCAAGGAGATATTCCCCTTTCTGGACCATTACAAGTTTCAACATCAAGTGGATTTGCATGGGCAAAAAGCCGGAAAGATGACACCTCATTTCGATCCCATTGTCGAACTATTTCCAGGGGACATATTTTCAATCCATTAGATACTTCTACAATTAGTTCAAGGAATATTTTGGATACTACAAACCAGGAAAATAAGGAGTTTTGTGGGGGATGCGTCAATTCTAGGGGCCATGACCTGCTTGAAATTTCTAAGCTTTCAATGCAGAATCAATGGAGTAAGTTTGATCGCCCAGATTCATTTGATGCTTCAGATGAGTACCATTCACAAGAACTGTCTATGGCCCTTTATCACAGAGAAGATTCAGCATCCAAGAGAAGTAACCTGGTAAGTTTGCCAGATTTTCTTTATGGTATTAAACATGAGATATCATCTGCCTGTAAGATGATGACATGGAACATAACTCGCTGCATATTATTCTTTCTGTGTAGAGATTTATATGGTTTACAATGTGAAAGTGGGAATTAGGGATTTATTATAATGTAGAGAATTAATTGGAACGTTAAAATATGGAAACAAAAATAACAAATTTAAATCAGTGTTATTATATCGAACTAGTCATTAAACCAATTAAAACATTGATTCAAAGTTTAATGATTCAAGTGAAATAAATCGGTATTAATGAAATTATTTTAATAATTAAAAGTGAACAAGATAATATTTAAAAGTATATAATGTTATAATTTTATGATGATAAAAGCTAAAATAAAATACAATATAAATTTATAGGTTATTAACATTTAAAATACATATAAAAAAGTCTAATAATATTTGTGTACATAGTACTTAAATTAAAATTTCGAAAATATTTATTAATATTAATCAATAATAACAAGTTTATATATATCATGAAAAAAGAAAATGACTAATATTTTTTGTTGAATTTTTTTAAGGAAAAGATTTTACTGATTTTTGGACCGTTTTTGTCCTGTTTAATGGGTTTGATATCCGTTTTAAGCCTATCAAATTTGCACCATATCGGAACTGGACAGGGACCGATTCTAGTCAAACCAGCTGGTTCGGTCCAGTCATAAGAACATAGTTGAAATTATGCATTGTTTTAACTTCTAAGATTTGTGACTTCTTTAATTTAGTGATTTATTTTGTTGACATTTATTGGTCAATTGCAGAGACATGAGACTAATTTCAATCTTGCAAAGCAATTTATTGTTTTAACATGAAATTGTCTGGTGTATTTGCTTTCATATGATCATAAATGGGTCAATACATGATATAAGCTCATACTATTCAGTTTTATTTAGGAATTTATTTGCCTCACTGTGCCCTGCCCTACCTGTATCAAATTCTTGGACCATACGTCAACTATGCAATAGTCTTGGTGTCCTTGCATTGACATAAGTATTATTCATTACTATCCTTGCAGAGTTTTCAAGATCAAGGAGAAAAGGTTGAATTTTCTGGGCCCCTGCTATCTCAAATGCACACAGTTGATGAGCTCTTGGAAAGGCACGAGCGTCACATCCGGCGAACTGTGCGGAGATCATGGTTTCAGAGAGGTATTAAAGTCATATCAAGTTAAGCTCATGGTTACCTTGAAAAGAAGCAATTGATTGCCTTACTGTTATTTCTATTTTCCTTGACTTTTGTGCTTAGGCTTGAAATCATTGAAAGAATATTAGACTTATAAAGCTCTAATCATAGATTGGCCATTAAGGAATCCCCTCCCCTTTCTGAGGAGAATGTTGACATTACATTTCTTGTTAACACGTGAGCTCTGGATGGCAGGTAAGAAGACGGGGAAGTAAATCAAGAATTTGCATAGGTATCTTGAGCATCATATCAAAATGATACAAGAAGTCCTACTGAGAAGGCTAATTCCATTCCCCCAAGCACACTGCTTTGACCAAACAATGAACATCAGACTTGTACAATGACACATTGTCTAGCAGCATGATCTGTTATATAGAAGCTGAGAACTCACTCAACAATTTGAGGAGCACACCACTCTCATCTTTCAATTTACAGAAATCCGGTGACCAATCCAAAGGAAAGATTAAAGGTTTAAGTATAGATAAGAATTCGTTTCTGTATGATCTAAGTTGTCCCTCTACTTGACTTTGCTGATTGTTATCTGCATCCAAGTCTCATCTGCCAATTGTATATATTTCATATGCCGTGACTGACTTGAGAATATAGTATACTCAAAATTATTCAATCATTTTTTAGACTTTTAATGAATCAGCTATCGCAATTTATATATCTAACAAGCAATATTCTGGTAAGCAAGCAATTCTGCATCATTCTATCTTCCAAATTCTGCTGCTTCATTTTTGGGTCCTGAGTTCTGAATCTTGTTCGACTTGATCGAATGTCATTGCTTCGTGCATATTCGTTATATACATAAATACGGTAAATGAAAAGGCCCTTAAATTTGTAGAAAATTGTTAGATTATTCTCTTATTGAAAAAAAAATTGAAGTATAAATTGATAATCATATTAAAAATATATGTAACTGAAAATGATAATATTAATGTATATTTAAGAACTAAAATAGTTAGTTTACAAACTTATATAATGTTATAGAAATATATTTAACTACTTTTTAGATTCGAGAATTGATATGACAATGTTGATCACTTTCAGATTGAAGTAGGTTTATGCAATAAAAGTACAAATATTTAAGGAACACCGAAACTTAATTTAATACTAGGATTTCTTTTGTACGAGTTCAACTTGGATGTACTACGAAAGTGAGATTTTGAACACTATATAGTATATAGCAAATAATGAAAAGTATGGCATTTTAGGTAGTGATGATGTTCTAACTTTGGTAATGATTTGTGTATGCTTGATTATGTATATGAAATTGAAGCTACAAAGAGAAGCTTACGGTTTTCACATGTATTTGACGCGAAACTGTTAGAAGTATAAATTGGACATTAAATTAAAATTAAATTTTATTCATAAGCTACAAATGCTTTGTATATATTTAGAGGCGCATCCTTTATGAAACTCGTTATATTATTTCTTCCTGCACTCAGTGATTTCTTGAAATGTGGAAAGTATCCTAAAAGTAAGTTTCTGAATAGATAGGGGGTGAGAGAAGAAAATGCTTCGAACTTCAATTTGTATTAACCTTAGCTACACATTGTTAGACATCGTCTTGAAAAATATTTAGAGAGTTTAAAAGTAATAACAGTTTCAATCAAAATAAAATCAACTTGTTTTTAGTAATATTGACTTTAATATGATGAAGTATGTATATAAGAGTAGTTAAGGCTGGTTGGTGATAAACACAATTTAAACATACAAATACAAATCAAAATATAATAAATTTGATTGCCCAAAGTGAAAGCTTCGAATTTTATAATTTTTTAATAGAAATAAATTATTGTGACATGATTTTTATACATTAAAATATGTAAAAAAACACCCTTCCATAATCCTAATTTTGGAAATAATATATTTCAAAATAATAACCGTAAAGAGAATAAATTTTTTGTTTGAAAAGAAGAATAATTTTGGTATTTTCAAATTGTCCAAAAATAGTTGAATTGTAATAAAAGTTATTCGACTAGTTGGCAATTGATTGAACCAGTGAATTATTGATTAAACTAATTAATTAGTACTGATTACACCAAACCATATGATGAATCAATGTATATCAAATATTACATTGTATATTAAAGATAATATAATTAACTCACATTTTTATATAAAAGTAAAATATTTGTTTTGGTACGGTGTTGCATTACTTTTAACTTTCAAAAGGAACATGATTCAAATCAATGTAAGGCCAAAATTTTTAAAATTTTTCTTTCTTGTGTGTATGCAGTTGACTTAATTGACCTATAACTTTTACTTGTCACAATTTTTCTGGATTGATAATATTTTATTTCAATAATGACATTTGGGTAGTGCCAATGACATGTTGTCTGTATTATTATTTACACTACTGCAGAAAAGGTTTTCTACGTCGATTAAAATGGGCTTTCTACATCGATTAAAGCGGCGATATAAATACAGGAGTCATAGAAAGTAAGCCTTTCTACGTCGGTTAATGACATAATCGACGTAGAAAGTGTGTATTTCTTTTTTCAGAACCTGCATTTTCTTCACAGATCCTATCTTTCTTCGAGTAGACCTGCCTATTCATCATAGTTCCAGACAAATATTCACAGTTCCAAACACTTGTATAGACAGATATGCACAGTTCATATATAGTTCCAGACAGATATGTACATATGAAACATATTGAAATCAAAATATGTACCTCATAGTTCCAGATAGTTCATTTACTTAAACGAATGTAAATTTGCTAACTTAAATCAATTCAATCAAAATTGTTATAAGTCAAATTTGCTATGAAGATTGAATACTTAAAAGGAAAGAAGCCCACTGCTCTCTAATATCGTCTAACACTTCAATCTTCAATGGAGATGAGTCTGTAAATTCCTACATATTGAAACATTTCAGATTTAGAAACCATTTACATAATTGACATATTTGAATTAATTATAGTATATTTACCTCCCTCTATGAGTCAATAATATTTGTGGATACGATGGTGTGCATGTGCTTCATCGCATAATACCCGCACTCATGGCTTCCCGGTTGGCGTGGATACTACAAGTTAAATACATGTCAGATTAACTTTAAATGACAAATTGAACAATAGTAAGAGGAATGTTTGGTCACCTTTGGTGCAATATACGTCAACTTCTTTCTAGCATGAGATGGAAGGCCTTGCAACATTAGGTGATCTTCCAAAGCTCTACAAAAGGACAAAAATTAATTATAATAGAACCTAATTTTGGTGTAAGTGCACATATGATACAACAATTAAAAAAACCAAACTTACGCGTTTATGTGCTTTCTAATATCCAAATCATTTGGTTTCTTGTGTAATGAACACAAGAGAATCACAAGAAATTACCGAGGAACAATGATTATGAGCTGCCAATGACCCCTGCACGTTGAAATAATATTAGTAAAATTTCAGTTTTACATAAATGTGCATTAATTTATAAGATGTATACTTACTGATGCAAGTAAGGTGCTAAGTAGACTTCTTTGCCCCCATTTTGAAATGTCTCTATTAAGTACGTTTGTACCTCTTTAGCTTTATTCCCAACGGACTGAATGGCAACAGGGTCAACAAATTCATAGATAAAGGCAATCTTCCTCTGAACACACAAACGATGTAAATACCTTCAACATTGAAAATAAATAAAGTTATAAAATAATGTACCAGTGAGAATATAAAAAATATGTAAATTTACTTACAATTCCCAAAGCTACAACACTGATACACATAGCATATCAGTACTAGCGAGAATATAAAAAATATCCCTTTGGAGTAAGAAAAAAGGGATCGTCTTGGTCCTGCATATGACTTCGGGTGGCATATCTAACTGTATGGGAGTGGTCCCGATAGTCGCTGCTAGTGCACCGAGTCGCTGTAAAGCACTCGGTGGTGGTGGTGATTCATGCACAACTTCCTTTGCTTTTTCAACCTCTTTCTATACAAGTACCAAAAATAAATAACATTAATATACATCAACAGATCAAAAAATAATAAGTAAAAGGGATAAATGCATGATACAACCTTGTGCATGTGTTGGGATGGGTCTTGTTAATGAAGCTGGCCATAAGATAAAATTTCCAGTGCCTGTCCCACTTGTTTGAACCTCTTCGGTGGGAATAGGGATTGGGGCAACAACATCCCGAACATCTACAATCACCACTCTTATCATATCATCTCCAATATTCTGGTGGTGGATGGTTGACCCCAATGCATACATTTTCCCTAAGGTAAACAAATGATAAAATATTTTAGACTATATAATGCTTAACAGAGTACCAAATACATGTTAAAGATATAATACGTACTGTATGCCACCAAATGCTCGGGAGGACCCGCAACATACAACTCACAGTTAGCAGTGTCAGTAGGAGCAACCTCTGCCCCTCTATCAGGAGCATCACAACTCTCCTTTGTGCTGACATGAATCGGGGATGCCTCTCGTGCGGGAACAGAAGGTTGAGAGGACAAAGATGCCAACTCTGCTCGCATTGAGCTCAATAACTCTGCTTTCAAGTCAGAGTACACCTCATATCGAATCTCCTTCCTAATTAGTTGTTTGAGGGACTCTAACTCTAACTCATTCAGATGCCTCAAAGTATGTGTTGCCACGGATGGGGCACCAAAGTACTGTCTGATGCCCACCCTTCATCCAGCAGAACGAACACGTCCAGGATGCTCTGGGGTACCGATGGCCACTGCCAATATATCCTCACGGCCATGTGGGTGGAATGATCCCTGAGTGCTCTGCTCAACCAACTCATCCTACAACACAAAGGAAGGATTTTTTAGCAAATACATATGTCTATTGTAGTATAACATATATAATTAGTTTAGGGTATGCTACTTACAATACGTTGAGCTACAACATTAGTTTCCTGATGAGTTCTGACGAGCTCTCTTCCATTTATCATGACGTGAAGGGCGAGTGACAGAACTCACAACCGAGTCATCTGAAGGTTGACTTGAAGATGTATCCTTCATCATCTTCTCCTCCAATTTCTCATAACCCCCACGAGACAACCTATGGGGGTGGATATTCTTTCTCTGAATATCCTGTGCCTTCTGGCGCTTGGCCTGTTGCATTCCATGTTAAATACCAGATTTAAAACCTATATTTAAAAAAAATGACTGCAAAAAAATGACAAATGTGCTAACACTGAAACTTAGGGTCTAAACGCCGAGTCTGAAATGCTCGCCATGTCTCCTCATCCAAAAGCGATCTTGGTCACATGGGTTCTTGTTGCTCAATGCCCCATATATGTATCGGCTAGTCGAGATCACTCTTAAAACCTCTCCAGCGTTCCCCAGCATATGAGATCCACTTTGTCCTCAACAAAGTGGTGTTAGGGACATCATATGTGACCTACACAATAAAAATAACATGAAGTTCCCAAAAAGTTAAATATATATACATGTTAAATGCTCAATAAGAGTAGGTACCAGGATACTCTGCCAAATCTGCTTCTTCAATGTCTCTGGAACATGGTCCAAATCCTCAATAAGAATACTAACCTTGCTTCTCCCAAGCAAGGCCACATAGCTAGTGAATCTAGCACTGTGCTCTTCTGTGGCTCTACCTATTTGCATGTTAAAGCTGGATAGGCAATTTCGATCGGAGCTACAGTCGATATTCAAGTCCCTCAACCGTGTAACACGCCTACCCTTTTTCCTGGTAGACGATCGACTCGATCACCACCTTGTGTAGGAGGGGGGACTGTGTAAGAGGAGGGGTACCAGATGAATCTGCCATATCTGTGTTCAAAGAAAAAATAATAGTCATTAATTTAGACAATATGACTGAAGATAAACAAAAAAGTGCATACATTAAAAAATAATACATTAAAAAAAGTGCATACATTATCAAGTTGGAACATTTTCCCAAAATCCTTCCATATGGTCATAACGTGTGGCATGCACATCATCTATTTCTACATCAACACTCAAGTTTGGCATATTTGAAGAGAAACATGGTGTCTGCGGTATATCAAGTACTAATTCATCATTCTCATGAGAAGTATACATGGGTTTTCCTTGTAGAACCATTGACCATCCTTTGTTAGTGGGATCAGTGACATAAAACACTTGTTTTGCCTGAGATGCCATGATAAATGGTTCTTCGGTATAACGAGTATTTTCAAGGTTAACCAAGGTAAATCCAAGATCATCGGTGAAGATGCCAGTATTAAAGTCAACCACTTACATTTAAAAATAGGTACTCTGAATATCGTGTAATCTATTACCCAAATCTCTTCAATTACACCAAAGTAGCCCATTGACGCCCTTATCGGATATTTATCCTTTGAACTCGAGAAATGCATTGATTCAGCCACCACCATGACTCCACTATTTTGCATTGTGCTTATTTCATCTTCTCCCTTTGTATAAAATGAATAGTTATTTATATCATACCCACCCCAACATATCACATCAAAGTTTGGCTCACATGCTAGCCACTTTAGTGTATCAAAAGTTGTATTGTCACCTTCAACTTGTTGTTTAAACCACTTCAAAAAACTCTTGTTGTGTTCAGTAATCACCCACTTTTTAGGCATACGTGGATTATTTCGCTTCACAATGTCTTTATGAGCACTTAAGTAGGGGATGACTTCTTCACTGTTATTCAATATGTACAAATGCGCTTGAAGTACTTCATCTAGACACATTGTCACAACTTTTGCACCTTGAGTTCCTTTACCAAGACCTATTCCATGGTAATGAGTCTTAGATAACCTTATAGCTTCAACTTTTGATAAGTATTTTGTGCAAAACTCAATAGCTTCCTCTGTAATATATCTTTGAACAATTAATGCTTCAGGACGATATTGGTTCTTCACATACCCTTTTAATATCTTCATGTATCGCTCAATAGGGTACATCCATCGTAAGAAAACTGGACCACAGATTCTAACTTCCCTGGCTAGATGAACAATCAAGTGAACCATAATATCAAAAAATGATGGAGGAAAGTACATCTCAAATTGACACAATATGACTGCAGCCTCATTCTCTAATTGATCTAAAACATCCGGGTCCATAACTTTACTACATATGGCATTAAAAAAGAAGCATAATTGAGTTAAGGAATATCTAACATTGTCTGGTAAGATACCTCAAATAGCCACAGGTAGAAGTTGTTGCATCAATACATGACAATCATGAGATTTTAACCCAAGAAATTTTAGATCTTTCATAGATACAAGTCTCTTCACATTGGAAGAGTAACCAAATGGAACCTTTACACCTCATAAAAACTCACAAAAACTTCTCTTCTCTTTTTTAAACAGTGTGTGACATGATGGAGACAAGTATGTTCAGTTACCATGATGTTGAGGAACTAATTGTTCTCTTATACCCATTTCAACCATGTCCAAACGAGCATTGACACCATCTTTTGTTTTTCCTTGAATGTTAAGGAGCGTTCCGATGATATTGTCACACACATTTTTCTCTACATGCATGACATCTATACAATGCCTCACATCAAGAACCCTCCAATATGGAAGAACAAAAAGGATTGACATTTTCTTCCATATACCTGTGGCTTTCTTTTGCGTCTTTCCAAACTCAAATGAAATCGCATTTGCTCGTTGATATACTTCCTCCCCACTTAAAGGTGTTGGGGTTGCATCATTTTCTTGACACCCGTTAAATGATTTTTTTAATTTACGATATGAATGGTTTGAAGGAAGAAATCTTCGGTGTCCAAGGTACACTGTTTTCCTTCCATGTTGTAGTTGATAGTGACATGTGTCTTCTTTAGATATCGGGCAAGCTTTATGTCCCTTGGTGTTGTATCCACTCAAATTACCATATGCTGGAAAGTCATTAATTGTACAAAATAACATTGCACACAACTTGAATAAGTCACCTGTGTACCTATCAAACACATCAACACCTTCCTCCCACAACATCTTCAACTCTTCAACCAATGGGCTTAAAAAAACATCAATGTCATTTCCAGGTTGTCTGGGACCCGAGATCATCAAAGATAGCATCAAGTACTTACGTTTCATTCACAACCACGGAGGTAAGTTGTAAATAACTAACACCACATGCCATAAACTATGTTTATTGCTTAAATTTCCATATGGATTCATTCCATCTGTAGCAAGTCCAAACCTAATGTTTCTTGGATCATTACCAAAATTCTGGAAGATGGAATCAATTTTTTTCCATTGCAATCCATCTGTCGGATGCCTCAACTGACCATCTTTAATACGACTATCTGCATGACATCTAGTGAGCTTTGCATCATTTCCATTAATGAATAATTGTTTCAACCTTGGAACAATGAGAAGATACCATAACACTTTTGCCGGGGTACCCTTCATTACATCATTGTCAGAATCACCATCCTTCTTCTTGTATCGTGATTCCCCGCATTGTGGACATTCGTGAAAGTTCTCAAATTCTTTCTTGTACAACACACAATCATTCGGACATGCATGAATTTTTTGGTACTCCATACCCATTGGACACAATATCTTTTTAGCATCATAATTGCGGGTTGGCAATGTGTTACCTTCAGGGAGCATGTCACTCAACAACTCAGGCAATTTTGTGAAACTTTTATCAGTCCACCTATTCTTTGCCTTCACATTGAACAATTTTAGTACCACCGACAATCGTGTGAACTTAGTACAATTTGTATACAAAGGTTTTTTTGCATCATTGGACAACTTCTCGTACACATGTGTATGTTGGAAGGCATCTTGTCCAAGCTCACGAATCATTTCCTCCAGCTGATCATCCATCTCTAGATCAACTTCTTCTTTGTCTTCTACACTTGGCATGTTTAATAATTCACCATGCCATGTCCACTTTATGTAACTCTTTAGGAAACCATCACAAAGAACATGTTCCCGAATAACTTCAGTCCGTAATCTTCGCTCATTCAAGCAGTTAACACACGGGCAATAGAATCTTCCATCATTATCTGGAACATTCATCTTAGCAAATTCAAGGAATTGTTCTACTCCACTCTCATATTCATTTGTTGTTCATCTATAATTTATCCAACTCCGATCCATTGTTACCTTTTGTGACATAACACAACATATAAGTATAGTTTGAGGATGATAACATCCAACATGTTTTGCTGAAATTGCGATGTCACGTGGTTGGATATTTTAATCTTTCAATAGGAAGTTTTGTCCTACAATGGATCATTTCATGACTGACTCCAATCAAGGCTCACCGTATTGTCTCACATTAGGGTGAGCATAAGCGATGATAGTTTTCACTTAAAATGAAATAACTACATTATAATACAAATCTAATTTTCAAAATCAAAATCAAGAAAGAATGCCTACAAAAACACATTCAAATGACTAAACTACTTACAATACGTCTCTAAATTAGCTAAAGGCACCCATGATCTTTCCATCTCTTGACAATATTATTACATACCAGATTCAAAACTGTAAACCTACAATGGCTAAAGCAAACACGGAAACTTACCTCTTGAAGACCTACAGAGGTGGCAGGTGGCGTGACATGCAGAGCTGGGTGGGGAGAAACGTACACAGGCGACGGGCACCAACGACAACAGCAGCAGGCGGCACGACGTACAGAGCTGGCAGGTGGCGTGATGTGCAGAGCTGGGTGGGGAGAAACGTACACAGGCGATGACGTTCGCAGTAGAGACAGAGAGAACGGGGAGCTCTGCTATGGGTGGAGTGATGAAATGGAGTGTTGCGGTGAGGGTAAAATAGAAGATACTATGTTGGTTGCCCTAACACCTATCATCAAATACACTTTCTATGTCGGGTAAATTTTAACCGACATAGAAAGTTCACTTTCTATGTCGGTTAAAATGTAACCGACATAGAAAGTGAACTTTCTATGTCGGTTAAAATTTACCCGACATAGAAAGTGAACTTTCCCACTTACCATGTCGGTTACCTATTACCCGACATAAAAAGTTTATGATTTTATTACAAAATTGCCACCGTGCTACATACTATGACGGGTGGACTACGACCGTGATAAAGACTTGTCATAGAATCCTATTTTTCCACTAGTGTTATAATTATAATTGGTAGTGTTTTTAGTTTGTACTCGCTCATGGTTGTGTTGATACTTAATTATAGTGATGATATAAAATAGTGTCAATAAACTTTGTGTGTGGTGTTATTCACAATTGGACTTGGTAGTGTTGATATAGTGGTAGTGACGTTGAATAATGTTGATCTTCAACATCGTCTTGAAGAGGACAAGAAGAAGATGAAAAATGTTTGAGGAAAGTGTGAAGACTCTACAAGAAGAAAGGGCTTCAAGAAAGGGCTTCTTGAAGTTTACGAAGATGTCTTCAAGAAGGTTATGAGCCATGTCATGGTGGTTTGCAATGGTATATAGACATAGGGGCTTTTGATGTAAAAAAGAAAGTGGTTGTCATTTGAATCACTTATAAACTTTTCTTTATTTATATTTTGATCAGAGCTTTTTAAGTTTACTTTATCTTTGTCCAAAAAGCAGTACTTCCCATAAGTGTAATTGAATAACTTTGGAAGTAATAACGAAGCTTAAGTATAAATTTTTTTTTTTTAACACAGAGTTGTGTTGATAATACTTAGTCTATGATATTTATAGACACAAGTCTATACCAGTATTGGTGAGGACATTTAGCCATGCGAGTGATACACTGCTCGTGGTGTCACTCATAAATATGTAAGTTTATGATGACAATGTTGTGCTGGTGACATCTATTTTGTAATATTATTCATATAATTTTTTAAGTTTGTATGATGAAAATTATGCTGATATATGTTTTTCTATTGTCATTTATGTAGATTGTAAGTTTCCATGATAATAATTGTATCGATAACACATTTTTTTTAATATTGTACACATATTTTTTAAAGATTTTATAATGAAAAATTGTGCTGATGACACATTTTTCATGGTCTCGCTCACATATATTTAAAGGTTTGTATGATAATAATTGTGTCAATTACACTTTTTTTTATTCTATTCACATTTATTTATATCACAAAATTATGTGATATTGATAACATTTTTTGTGGCATTATTCACTTTATTTGTTTGTCGACAGTGTTGTGTTCACCTAGAGTAAGATTTTATTTGTTTATTGTAGTTTAAATTTTGTATGTGGGTGTTATCTTTGTTAGTACGTCGGAATTATCTTTTATATTTTCTAGTTCATCTAAATCTAGCTTCTTTATTTTACGAAGAAATAACAAAACCAAGTTTTCTGAGATAACAATGGGTATCAAAGCCAGTTTCAACTTCCTCTTAAAAAAAAACTGCAGACTTCTATCATGGCCAACACGAATAGTAATTTCGTTTAACCTGCAATTCCAAAGTTGAATGAGCATTATGACCATTGGACATTGTTAATGGAGAACTTCCTAAGGTCAAAAGAGTACTAGAATCTTGTAGTTTCTGGAATTCCACAACATGCAGATGGGGCTGTTTTATCATATAATGAGGGAAAAGCTCTGGAGGAGTTGAAATTAAAGGATTTGAAGGTGAAAAACTACTTATTTCAAGAACCATGCTTGAAACAATCTTAAAGAAGGCAACGTCGAAGAAAAATTGAGATTCATTCAAAACAAAAATATTAAGGCACTGCGAAGTTGAAGTGAGCTCAACTACAGACTCTACTACGTGAATGAGAGATTCTGCAGATGAAGAATGGTGAATTAATTAATGATCACTTTGAGAATGCAAGGTGAGCAGTATCTGTTATTGAAAAAATTATTGGTTCAATGACTTTGAGGTATAATATGTTCCATTTAGATTCCATGACTATAGATGAACTCCAAAGTAGTTTATTAGTGCATGAGTAGAGAATAAATAGGCACAATTCTCATGAAGAGCAAGTATTGAAGGTTTCACAGGAGACAAGTACTGACAATGGACAGACAAGAAATATTTTTCAAGGAGCATATGCAAGAGGAAGAGAAGAGGGAGAAGAGGGAGAAGAGGTAGACAATTTATGAATAAGGTAACAATAGAGTGCTACTACTGCTATGATAAAAGAAAAGCTAGAAGGAAGAAAGAGAAGACGAAAGAATAAAAGGAATAGAAGGAACCCAATAGTTGTTATCAGAATAACATTGATAGAGGTAAAAATATTGAATCAAAATTACCATTTTTTTTTTAACAAAACCTAAAACCCAATTATATATTTTGGTAAAACTTTTTCCAACACACCGCTTAAACTGTACCATTTTTAGAAGCGATTACTTTATTTATATCAATACCCTACCCTAGAAAGAATCTTTGTCCTCAAGGATTAAAATTGAGAAATTTTTTCTTTAAATCATAGAAAAATTCCCATATCGCGTCTTTTGGCAGTTGGTGTTTCCATTTTACAAGAACTTTGAGTGACTTTCATTCCTCTTCTCTTCACTGTCATTTTGTCTAAAATAGTTTCTGATTCCTTCCATTGCAGCCTTCCTTCTGCTTGATAAGGCAACTCCGTGGAAATTATTGTCTCCCCCACATGCTTCTTCAATAAGCTACCTCTCCTATCCTGTCCAAAATCTTGTAGGGTCTATAGTATTTGGGACTTAATTTGACACTAGGTCTGGAGATTACTGAAATTTTTCTATAAACATGTAGCTTCACGTAAACTAGGTCCCCAATTTCATACGCTCTATCAGATATGTTTCTGTCAGCTACTTGCTTCATCCGTTCTTGTGCTATCTTTAAATGAAATTTAATTACCTTCAACATCTCTTCTCTTTTAGTGAGACTTCTGTCCACCAATTCTACACTAGATTCCCCAGGTAGATAAGGTAGGTGAATAGGAGGAACCTGACCGTAAACAATTTCATAAGGTATAGCCTTAATAGCCGTGTGGTATGTTGTGTTATACCACCATTCTGCTAAGGGAAGTCACTTCACCCATTTGTGGGGTGAATAATTACTCATACATCTCAGGTAGGTTCCCAAACACCTATTTACAACCTCCATTTGCTTGTCTATTTGAGGGTGATAACTTGTGGACAACTGGACTTGCACACCATGTATTGCCATAAATTCCTGCCAAAATTGGTTAACAAAGATCGAATCCCTGTCACTAGTTATAGTTTCAGGAAATCCATGTAATTTGAACACATGGTCTAGAAAAGATTGTGCAACATCCCTTGTTGAATAAGAATGAGTTAGGGCCATAAAATGAGTTGCTTTACTGAGTCTATCCACCACTACCATAATCACATGTTTGTCTTCTGAATTCAGTAGTCCTTAGTCCTTCAATGAAGTCCATGGTGATATGCTGCCAAATAGTTTGGGGAATGGACAGAGGTTGTACATTACAAGAAAAATCAAAATTTTCGACGGATAAAATCCATCGGTAACCAAGAAAACCCGTCGGTAAAAACATATTACCGACGGATTATCGATGGTCCTAAATCCGTCGATAATTGTGTTGTCGGTAAAAATTACCGACGGATTTTGCTAGTCCATCGGTAAATATCATAGGTATTTACCGACGAATATTTCCGTGGGTAAAGTTTGACTTACCGATGGATATATCCATGGGTAATTACCCATGATATTTATCGACGGACTAGCAAAATCCGTCGGTAAATGTCATGGGTTATTATCGACGGATATATCCGTCGGTAAATTCTGATATGTTTTCGAATGAGTTATCGACGGATAATCTGTCGGTAAATTCGTCGCTAAAGACACCTTTATTCCCAGAGCCATTATATTTTTGTTTAATCCCATTATAACTTGTCAAAAAAACAATTTAGTCCGATTCAATAACTATTCAACATTCAATCCAGTTCAATTCAATAATCTATTCAACAATCCAATTAAACATAAATCTAACTCAACTTAATAACATGTAAATTCAAATGTACTGTAATTTATGCATAATGAAATATAATGTATAATCCTAAAAAGAAGGTCAACTTACAAGTACAATTGAAATATTATTCTATAGATGTTTGTATAACATTTAATAGTCAGAATAACGAGGAGAATGATGTTCTGGTATGTTGTCTTCCTGTGGTGGGTTATCTTCTTGCTCTTCATTCACTTGCTGTTGTTGGGGTTGATCTTCAGCATCTGCTTCACTATGTTGGCGCTGCTGAATGAGAGACTGTGTAGAGGGAGGTAGAAATTGTCCGACAAGGGATTGAAACTCTCTAAATTGTTGCGCTAGTAGTTCGTTTTGCTCCCTTGTTCGACGCATTTCTTCTTCTTGTATAGACAATCGTTGTCTCAATTGATTCATCTCTTCTAAGTTAACTGAGGAGATGGATGCTTGAGTTTGATGCTTCAAGCTATCTGAACCACCCTGATAACCATCAGCAAGTTGTCCAGCCCCATACAATCTTTCTTTATTCTTACCTCCAACTGTGTCCATCCAACAACGGGACCTTATAACTTCATCATCAATAGGAGTGGACTCAGGTTCGCCAACACAAGATTCGGCAGATGATCTAGCTTGTGAAAGTCTAGTTTCAAATTCCTCCTATTAGTAGAAACAAATAAATTATTAACATGATTATTAACTTTACATAATATACAAAGTTTAAAGTGAAGGTTCTCATGTGAGTCTTCCTAAATCTTTCATCAACAAATTGACCCATTTTCCTCTTAATATGAGTTTGTTGGAAGATCTCATCAATAAAAGCTGATCTTCCAAGCTCCTTTGTCTACATTACATAAACAATTTGAGATATAAAACCCAATAAATATTTCAAAATCCTAAATGTATGATTAAAAGACTTACCATACGCATGACATGCTCATGTGTGCTGATAAAGCCACCTGTGTGAAGGCTCCAACCCTTTTCAGATGCCCTATTTTTTTGGGCTTGTGCAGATTTGGACCGATACATTGGTGAGCTCCAATGTGCCAGCAAGCTGCTCCAAACGTGATCTCCAATCCAGTCTGGTCTTTGACCAGCAATTCTTGCATCCCTAAACATCTCACTAAGTCTGTGAGATGCTTTGGAATTAAAATTCTTCTTTATTTGATGTTCATGCTCTGGTCTCCACTGAAACTTCATCTATAAAAGTATAAATTGTTATACACATTATAGAGAAATGAATACAAAACATATATTCAATAATTATAGATATATACATTAATGGAAATCAATAGTAACATTAAATATCCTTCTAATAAATTTTAGAATTGAAATTAAATATTACCCTCGACCATAAGGTTCAATCATCGGTCGATCATGTATAGCAGAAACATCTTCTCCAACCTATGAATCAACATTTGCAGTAGGTGAGTGACCTTCAGAGGAGGAAGGTCTTGAGGCCAGAACAGGGGTTGGAGATGGACAAGGGATGGGTGCCACAAGTGGAGAGGAGGAAGGTCCTGAGGCCACA